CCTAAGGCCGATTGCCCAGAGGTGTATTACTTACAACAATTCAACGGTTACTATTTTGCGGTTTCAAGTGGTTGTTTTGATTTCAACAAGATATGTCGTTTAGTACTGTCAAGATTGAGAGTCTTTTGGGTATGATTACTGTGAAGCTACATGATGATAATTTTGTCAAATGGAATTATCAGTTTCAATCTGTTCTTCGAGGTTATGATTTGTTTGATTTCTATGATGGGGAATCACAATGTCCGCCTAAATTTTGTATCACCGATGGAGCTGGAGTGACTAAGGAGATTTCCACGGCCTACAAAGAATGGGTAAAAACTGATGTATCTTTGTTGAGTTTGCTCATTGCTACTCTCTCAGATGGAGCCATAGACTATGTTATTGGCTGTAAATCATCTCACGAAGCATGGAAATGTATTCAAGAACGTTATGCATCTGTTTCTGTTGTCAAGATTAACCAGCTGAAGACTAAATTTCACACAATACAAAAAGAGGCTGATTCTGTGGATAAATATCTGTTACGGTTGAAAGGGATTAGAGATCAGTTGGTGGCTGCAGGAGAAAAGGTCATTGAGAATGACTTGGTCATTGCTGCGTTATCCGGATTACCATCAGAGTTTGAAACAATAAGGACAGTCATTTTGGCTCGAGACACATCGATTTCATTGATAGATTTTCGAGCTCAACTTCTTGGGGCTGAAGTAAGTATTGAGTCTCGAGTACAAAGTTTATCTCAGTCACTTTCTGCACTGTCTGTTCAATGTCATGCTTCGCATTCTCAAGGTCAATTCCAAAGCTATGAGAAGGGTGAAAGCTCGGGGTTAAAAAGGTCACAAGATAATACTTTTGATGATGATGGCAGGTTTAATGGAGGATCCGGTTATGGTAGTAATGGGGGCAACAATTTTCGGTCTAACAATAAAAGGTACAATGGTGGAGGTAATAACTTTCGGTCTAATCCTGGCAACAGATTTGGTTCTACATTTCCTCATGATAATGGGAAAGGGTCTCAAGTTAGTGGGCCTCAGAATTACTCCGGTGGCAGCAAGCAAAGTAATTCTTGGAATGGGAATACTAATTACAAGTCTGCTATATCTCCAGAGTGTCAGATATGTTCAAGACGAGGTCACACGGCACCTAATTGCTATTATAGAACTGATAGTGGTCACCCTTTTGGAGGCTTTGTGGTTTGCCAAATCTGTGGCAAGAAGGGACATATTGCTCTGGAATGTTTTCACAGAAACAATTTTTCATATCAAGGTGCTCCACCTCCTGCTTCTCTTACTGCAATGACTGCTCAGAGTTCTACTACTGCAAATGGAGTTCCGAATGTGCATGATTTTGCTTCAGCTGATACATGGGTTGTTGATACAGGTGCAACTCACCATATGACATCAAATCTCGATGTCTTAACTAATATTACTCCTTATAATGGTGATTCAAAGATCACTGTTGGTAGTGGGGAAGCTTTGTCAGTTTCCGATATTGGTTCTTCCCTTCTTAAAACATCTCACCACACTCTCGTTTTACATAATGTTTTACATGTTCCAAAGATTGCCATGAATTTGCTATCTGTCAAGAAATTATGTAAAGATAATAAGTGTTGGTTTGTTTGTGATGATTTGGTTTTCTTTATACAGGACAAGGCAACTCGGAGGGTGTTGTACCAGGGAAAGAGTGATGATAGGGAGTTATTCCAGATTCCGGTTAATGCGTTTTCAAGATTGTCTGCTGCACAGCTTGGTCGTAGTATTGCTTTTGTTGGAAAGAAGATCAAGAGTTCCATTTGGCATAAACGGTTGGGTCATCCTTCTGAGGAGATATTACATAACATGTTGAATGTTGCTCAGTTGTCAGTTGTTTCAGATTCTAGTCCATCCTTATGTACTGCTTGTATTCATGGCAAGTTGAGTAGGTTTCCTTTTCCTGTAAAACAAACTAGATCACATGTAGTCTTTGAGAAGATCCATTCGGATGTGTGGGGTCCTGCACCTGTGAAATCTGTTGAGGGTTTTAGATATTACATCAGTTTTGTTGATGATTGTTCTAGGTTTGTTTGGATTTTTCCAATGTTGAATAAATCAGAAGCCTTTCCAATCTTTTGCAAATTCTATGCTTTTATTGTTACTCAATTCAATGCACATGTCAAGTTGTTTCAATCAGATGGTGGTGGTGAGTATATGAGTAGTATGTTTCATCAGTTTCTAGCAAATAAAGGAATTGTACATCAGGTGTCTTGTCCTCATACACCTCAGCAAAATGGTCTAGCTGAAAGAAAGCATAGACATGTTGTGGAAACATCCATTACTTTGATGACAGATGCAAAGTTACTAACTCAGTTTTGGTATCACAGTTGTGCATATGCAGTTTTTCTGATAAAAAGAACGCCTTGCAAGAATTTGGATATGCAATCTCCTTATCAAGTGTTGTTTAAGTGTGTTCCTGATATTACTTCTCTTAAGATTTTTGGAACTGTAGTATACCCTTTTCTTCGACCTTTTAATGACCATAAGCTTCAACCACGATCACTACAGTGTGTATTTTTGGGCTTTTCTAGTGGGTACAAAGGCGTATTGTGTTATAATCTTCAGACACAAAAGTTTATTATTTCCAGAAGTGTCATCCATGATGAAGAGGTTCATCCTTTCAAGCTATTATGTGATACAAACGGTTCTAAAACTATACAGCAGCAGTCCAGTTCACCTGTGATTGTGCATATTAATATACCAAGTGCAAGGTATCAACCACGATCTCCTACATCTGATCAAAGTCCGGGTTCAGAGTCCACTCACAGAGCAGTTCATTTTTCTGATTTCAGTGCTACTCATAGTTCAGTTGCTTCAGGCAGGAATGAGATTATACCTTGTCCTCGTGATTCACAGTTGCTTCAGTCCGGGGGTAACAATGTCCAAGCTTCTTCCCCAAGTCATCACTCTGGTACAACATCCATGTTGCCTGTCCACTCCTCCAATCAGCTTGAGGTAATTCTTCCTTTCTCTCCTCATTGTAACTCACCTCAGTGTGATACAGGGATCAATACACATTCTATGACTACAAGGCTAAAAAGTGGGGTGCTTGAGAAGAAGAATTATGCTGCTTTAGTTACTTCCTTTCCTGAGCTTCAGTCTTTACATATTACTAAAGAAGATCCATTCACGGGGGGTTATTCTTTCATTTCTGAGATAGCTGATGTCCAAGAGCCTTCTTCTTTTCGAAAAGCATCTACAATTCCACAATGGTAGACAACTATGCAAGAAGAATATGATTCATTGAGGGCTCAAGGCACTTGGGATTTAGTTCCTTTACCACCAGATCGAGCTATAGTTGGCAGTAAGTGGGTGTATAAAGTGAAAAAGAATCCAGATGGTACAATCTCCAGGTATAAAGCCCGGCTTGTTGCTCAGGGGTTTTCTTAAGAACATGGCATTGATTATATGGACACCTTTAGTCCGGTTGTTCGTCACACTACAGTTCGAATTGTCTTAGCCTTGGCTGCTATTCATCGCTGGAATTTGAGACAGTTAGATATTAAAAATGCTTTTCTTCATGGTGATTTACAAGAGGAGGTTTACATGCAGCAACCTCAAGGGTTTGTTGATGTTTCTTATCCAAAACATGTTTGCAAGCTTATGAAGTCTTTATACGGTTTAAAACAAGCTCCAAGAGCTTGGAATTCGAAGTTTACAACTTATCTCGGAGCTTTGGGATTTTGTGCATCTGCATCTAATACGAGTCTATTTGTGAAACACGATGCATCTGATATCATCATATTGCTGTTGTATGTCGATGATATAATTCTAACTGGGTCAAGTTCAGTGAAGATACAAGGGGTAATCCAAAAGTTGTCTGCGGTATTTGATTTAAAAGACATGGGTAAGCTCACGTATTTCTTGGGGCTACAAATCCAGTATAAGGATAATGGGGATATCTTTGTTAATCAATCGAAATATATCAAAGATTTGCTTCATAAAGCTGGTATGGAAACATGTAAACCAGCTCCAACTCCCTACAAGCCCCATCATCAATTAGTATATTCCGACGGTCCGTTGTTGCCAGATTCCACTTTGTATAGGAGTATAGTTAGCTCCTTGCAATATTTGACCTTTACTAGGCCAGATATTGCTTTTGCCGTCAATACAGTTTGTCAATTCATGTCCTCACCAACTGAGTTTCATTTTGGGGCTGTGAAACGCATTCTGCGATACCTGCAAGGGACAATACATACTGGCATCATGTATTCTGCAGCTACAAGTCCACAGTTAAATGCCTTTTCAGATTCTGATTGGGCAGCCGATTTGAATACAAGAAGATCTGTTACTGGTTATGTCTTATTTTTAGGCAATAATCCCATTTCATGGCAGTCTAAAAAGCAAACTTCAGTGTCTCGCAGTTCAACAGAAGCTGAGTATAAAGCCTTAGCTCATACTGCAGCTGATATAGCTTAGGTCAGAAACATACTCAAGGATCTGGGAGTGTTCTTATGTCATCCACCTAGTCTTCACTGTGATAACATGTCAGCTATTGCCCTTAGTGCCAATCCTGTTTTTCATTCCCGTATTAAACATCTGGATACCGATTTTCACTTTGTTTGGGAACGGGTACAACATGGTGATTTGGAGGTGTTATATGTTCCTACAGAAGATCAAATTGCAGACATCTTGACCAAAGGGTTACATAGTCCTTCTTTTGTTAAGCATTTTCACAATCTCAAACTCGGAGATCCTAGTTGAGATTGAGGGGGGATGTTGAATGTAATGTTGCCATGTCAGCATAAGTTGGAGTGCCATGTAAGCAAGGCAGTTAGAAAGATTGTTAAGAATCGGTTATACAGTTAGAGTAGTTGCTTAGATATTAAGTGTTGAAGGAATATATATAGCAACCTCAGCTATACAATTGTATTCATTCAGTATAATCAATATACAACATTTCGTCTCTCTCTCTCTTCTATTTCTTCTTACTTACTCTTAGTTCTTGCTTTGCTTTCGTGTGTTCTTATGCATTTAGTAAGAACTGTTATCAAGTTTATGCTGGTCCGAGAAAAAGGGAAATGTCAGTAAGTTTATATATATGACCTGCAATATCAATATAAGCAAAGATATATAATTTATTAGGGCAAAAAAATAAGACACTCACCTCTGGCAGCTGGTGGTCTTTGAGATGGGGATATTCATCACAATCCCACACTTGCCTGGGAGAGTAGAAGCTGTAACTTCGTTAACATTGGGGAAGCGGTTCTCGCTGCCATACAGCATTCGCAAGCGGCTTGCTTATCAGCTGTGGTTTGGGCGAGGTTCTTGATATTTTGCACCCCAGCGCAGCAAGCAGGGTCAAGACTACCCCGTTTGGACAGGTAGGAAATGCAAGGTGCCAAGTTCGAGTCCACTTGGCCACAATTGACAATGGCCTCTCCTTGCTGCACCATTAGATGAGCCATGGCTAGCACAACCAACATTGAGATCACAATGCCCTTCATCATTTTTCTTAGTAGTGAATATACTATAAAGCTTGATTGCTAGCTTGTGCTTTTGCTTGTGGAAAATGGATGGTTTGCATGGTGTATATATATAGCAGTTTGGAGATGATGGCCTAAACAAAAACAGTTGGGGAATTTTGGCCTTTCTCTATGATGGCCTAAACAAAAACAGTTGGGGAATTTTGGCCTTTCTCTAAGGCACTTGGATGGTAAAGGCTAAAGAGGATAAGGTAACCACCCTTGATAGTGGATAGGCAGTCCAAAAAGATGACCCAAAAATTTAGAAAACAAATAAACAAATGCTATGTAGCATTAATGCTACAAGCATTGGATAGACTAAATTGACTTGAATTTTTGCCTTTATTGTGTTCCTATGAATTCAGACTGTCAAATACTTTAGTGCTATGTAGCATGAAAGTCAAACCCAAAATTTGAAGGAAAAATTTTGTCCTAGCTAAGAACATGTGAGAACATTTGAACACATAAGCAAACTATTAACACTTTAAAGTAGGCATGCATTCAAAAACAATTCTAAAACCCATGACTTTCAAAGCCTAGTGAATGGTGAACCACAAGACTCTTTAACAACATTAAAGAGAAGAAAGGATTTTGAGATTCATTACCCTTGAAGCTCATCCTTGTTTACACAAGGGATTCACCCAAGTGGAGGGCCTTCAAGTCACCTCCTAACTCCTTAGATCTTCCTTGTGATTTTCTTCCTTTTGATACTCCTTTGCTCCTTGAGGATGTGAGGAAAGGATCTCCAAGAACACCAAAGGTTTAGTGTCTCTAAGTCTCCACACCAAGGATGTAGTGTGAAGAGAAGATGGATGACTGAGAGAGATTTTTAATGCTAGTAAAAGTCTCCCTAAGTGGCCGGCCTCTATAGAGAAAAAGAGAGAAAAAGTTTCTCTTCTTTGCCTCAAGAAAACCCCAATGAGGGAATGGCTATAAAGTTGCCTTTATACCACCTTACAAGTGAGTGGCAAACTTGTAATAAGTCAATCAACTCACTCTCCCTAATGTGGCCGGTTTTAGCTTTGTTCTTGGGCTATTTTTCCATTTAGTTTTAGTTGTCACACAACATAAACTCAATGGGCCTTATGGACCAAAAACCCATTTGGGCCCCAAAACTCGAAACTAAGTTAAAAGCCCAATACGAACCTTTCTTATAATTAATTAACTAATTAATTAATCTTGACCATTCTCAAGTAAACCATTTAATTGCTTATCCATCTCTTGGGAGTTTTAACGAAAAGCCCATGGTACTGTTCACTTTAATGAAAAACCACATTTTTACACTAAAAAGTCAAACATGGTACTATTCACTTTACCCTTTATTTTGTCCTTATCGTTAAAACTCAAAGTTTTGAAGCCATTTTCTTTAGTTTTCCTTCTCTTTTATATCTTCACATTTATCCTTACTCAATGTACGATCCATTAGATTCCATTTAGAGAAGTAGTGGACGATTGTTACTCTTAACGATCAATTGTGAATTGAAACAACATTTCAATTCTCCGTTTGATGAAGATTAATGTTTGCTAATCTTCAGGACTTCCACAAACCATGAGTGACACCTAGCAGTATGTCATGGCTACCCAAGCTATGTAGAAGTGGTTGGAAAACCTATCCAATTACAATTACAATGCAATACGGTCCTTCTCTGATACAATACTCTTAATCACATTGTTTGAGTGATAGTTTGTTTCATGTCTACTATCCAATGTGATATTTCTCTATATGATTCATTTGAATATGATTTGGAACAAACTTGCTAAGTCATATTCGTATGCTTTGGCCAAAGACTCCTGAATCATATCTCAGAGTATTCTCCCTTCACCATGGAAGGTTAGAGAGCCCTTGTTGTGCATTCATATGCCTACATGACTAGATAGCTTGACCCCAACAATGTCGTGGACACTCTCGATGGAATGCCTTTGACATGATCAAAGATCAATGACCTAACCATTAGACATCTATGATGCCTCAGGTCAAAGGACTACTTTGCATATTGCAACTTACGAGTTCTTACATGACTTGTATGTTCGAACTCCTTTTTTATCGTTGTTCAGTGTACTCAATTACCTTTCAAGCACCTATGTGTTTGTCTTAGTGTCCAACACTAAATGACTTGAGACTAGTCATACTCACACTTGAGTTAACATAACACATACTAATCTTAGCGGATTGTCAATGCCCAATTGGCAATCCTATGGCTAGGAGCGTTTTAGGAATGAACTTAAGAGAAAAATCTCGTTAATCTAACTTACTTAGATCATTTCTCTCTAATATAACACTGGCATGAGGTTCAATAATCCAAACCGTCTTGGATTTAGCTCTCCATCTAAGATTTGTGATTATGGATCACACAAGTGTGCAAAAATTAACCTAACTATTAGCAGTTCAAATTAAATCTTGTAAAAATAGTGCTTATGTGAACAACTTACCAGATATTCCTAAGCTTGTCTTTCCACGGGTACTATCTGTAAAAGCAGGTTAATTAAGTCAATAATTAGTACTTTTGTTATCAAAAGAATAAAATACTTGAAGAATTGTTTGCATAAATCTTTGTTTTCATTTAATATAAAAAGTTCAAATATATTCTTTGAGTCCAAATTTGTTGTATATATTATCTGCACAAACTAGCTAATTAAAACCTTGTCAATGTGAAAATGACGAAAATATTTGCCGGCAAAGTACTGCAACAAGTCAAGTTAAATCGCATTCAGTTTCTGCAGTCTGATTATCTGTGAAATTATATTGACCAATAGTTCTCTTCAGTCTGCAAGTCTTACCCATCTCTTCGCAACGTCCACATGATGGTTTGGACCACTGCAGCATCATAAGGCTGAATGCTCCCACTGATGAAATATATGGAACTGATGTGTAGTCACGCAGCTTGGTACAAGACACTAGGGGCATATCATCAATGGAAACTGGCCGTTGACAGCATAGTAGTTAGTTTGGTTTTCAGGTTTGTCAAGGCCCGAAGGGCACAGTTTGATAAACTTACGTCCGCTTGGTCCAAGTAATGGTGACAGACAACTGAATAAAGTAAAATTAGTATCAACCGGTCGATGCACAAATTGAAAGGTCGAGGAAGATAAGTTGAATTTGAAAATATCTTTAGGCGGGCAATCACTTTGGAAATATACTCTGATTTCTTGAGATGCGTAGTTAATCGTTTCAACGATGAGCATTTTATGGGTAATGAAGGACATGAGGGAGTAAAGAAATGGATTAACCATCTTGAGAAGACTTTCCATTTGATGCATAGATAGGAAAATTTTCTGAAAGATAGGTGGGTTGAGAGGACTACCTGGTTTTTAGGTGAACAACCTGCATCCTGGTGGAGACAAGAGTTTTATCAGTTGTCACCAGAGGAAGCTGCTAATTGGGAAGTTTTTAAGCAGTTATTTCAGAAGAGATTCATTCCTCCAGAATATATAGATCCCAAGAAGCAAGAATTCAGGCACCTAAAGCAAGGAAAGATGACAACTAATGAGTACTACAGGAGGTTTACTGATTTATCTCGCTATCACATGGAGGTTGCTGCTAATCCGGTTGAGATACTTTGTCGTTTTTTGTTGGGTACTCGAAAGAAGTGGCGTTCTATGGCGACCACAGCTTTTGTGGTACTTACCAAGAGTTTTATGAGATTTTGCTATGAATTGAAGATTCAGAGAATATGCCTAGTGAGAGTGAGGAGGAAGAAAATGATGGAAATCAGAAGAAAGATGATAAAGGTAAAGGTCAATCATGTTTGGGACCTTACAAGACTCTGAGCTTTAAGAGAGGTGGAGCTAGTTCCAATTCTTCCAGTGGGAGTTGGGGTTCCACTGGTCAGAGGAGAGGTGGTAGATTTTCTAGAGGTCCTCGTTTTCAGAGGTAGAGGGATTCTGGTGGCACAGGTGCACCTTTATGTCGCAGGTGTAATAATCGGCACTTTGGGGAGTGTAGGCGAGGCAGTAGCGAATGATATACTTGTGATCAAATAGGGCATAGGGCTATGCATTGTCCTTAGAATAACAGAGGCCCTAGCTGTTGGAAATGTGCCCTAAAGCCAATCATGTGATGATACTTTACGGACATTTCACATGTTAAACTAATCTAGTTTTACATATAAAGGGCATACATTATTGTTTGAGCCGTCTCATATAAATGTTATATGCTTAAACGATAAAGTCCAAGGAATATGTGATTGGGAGAATGTAATCTAATGAAGTTAGATTCATGAGACCATTCTTTCGTAGACACATCCTAAACGTTCCTGATCATAGGATTGCCAATTGGGCGTTGACAGTCCGTTAAGATCAGTACGTACTATGTCTTCTCTCAGGGAGAGTGATTAGTCTCGAGTCATTGGTGTGTGTGACATCAAGACAAGTACGTAGGTGCTCAATAGAGAATGAGTTCACTGAACGTGATCAACGAAGAGTTCTTATATTCCATGTCACATGAGAACTCATGGTTGGGATAATGCAAAGTAGTCCTTTGACCTGAGGCATCACAGTTGTCTTGTGGTTAAGTCCTTGATCTTTGATTATGTCAAAGTCACCCCCTCGGGGTGTCCACGGCATCGTTGGGGTTAAGCCACTTAGCTATGGAGACAAGTGAATGCGCAACAAGGGATCTCTAACCTTCAAACAGTTGAGGGAGAATACTCTATGATATGATTTGAAATCTCTGGCCAGAGTATGAATGAGATTAGGGAATGCGTTCCAAATCACATTCAAGGAAATCATATAAGCACACGAATCACATTGGATAGTAGACATGAATAAATAAACTATCATACCAAACAATGTGGACAAGAGTATTAGATTAGAGAAGGACCGTATTGCATTTGTAATCCCAAACTGAATAGGTTCTCTATCCTCTTCTGATTAGCTTAGGTAACCATGATATGCTGCTAGGTGTCACTCATGGTTTGTGGAAGCCCTAAACGTGTGTAATCACTAAAGGGAGAATTGAAAATAGTTTCAATTCACAATCGATGTAA